CTTCGCCATGAGGACGAACGTCGAATCTGACTCGGGTGTGCAGCGTCAATGATCGATAGGACGTGAACCATACGACGGGCATGCCACAGAAGACGCGATTTATCATGAGAACCCACAACAGTATCACGCTAGACACTAGATCCACTAAGATTCTCTCCCAGTAGTCATACATTCACACTGGACGAAGATTCCGTCTGCGGGTCACACTCATACCTTGTGTCATAGATTTGTCACTGTATGTACATCTGACAGAAGTAGCTCATCGACCCCAGTCGATGAGATCTCTAGACTGTAATCGGAACATATGGATGTCAAATGAGACAGTAGCCCATCGAGTCTGGTGCTTTCCTAGTTTCATTCTTCTGCGCATAATATTATGATCATTCGACATGTAAATCGTCCAAATCTGTCAGTTTATAAGGTCGATCAATTTACTGACTCTGCCATTTCTATGTCATCGTCCATTGCTCTGTCCACATCGTATACGAGTGGCTGAGCGAATGCAAAAGGTCGAGTCTTGCTGCTGATCGATGGTCTGTACATTCACTTCTACTTGTATTCGACGCTTGGATTTTCCGACCTTGGCCAATTGTTTGGTTTTCAGAAGTCCTCTGTTGTCAACCTTAATTCTCAGCATACACTTGGAAGTCGTATGTTTACCAGCTCGTTTTCGACAATTCGCATCTTTCACCTTGATAAGAATGACTCGTGGTGAATTCCTTAGCGGATCTATTTGTATATCCTAGATCCATTCGAACAGGTTGCTCAAATCAGATTCTCATTCGAATAAGATTTACTCTACCTACTCTGTGATGTATAGACACATTTTGAAGTCCATATTTCCTGGATCATACAGCAAAGTTCGCCATAAACTTGACGAATTTTTTGAAGGACTCAGTCCGTTGAGTCGACTAGTCACTTTGCTGGAACCGCCTATCGAAAAAATCGTCTCTCTTTCATAAATTGCCTAGATAGATCGTGTCCGAAAAGAGTCGAGGCAAGTGAACTTGACATCTCAAGCTAAGACCTGAATCAAATTCAATGTACGGTGAATTCGACCGCTCACCAGGAACTATCAAACTGAAATTAGATTGCAAATTCAGTGCTAGATTCAACTCAACGATAACCAGTACAAAGCTTCCAAGAGAAGTAAAGTCTGCCATAGTCTCTGAATTTGCTTCGGGCCGGTGTGGAATTTTATTATGCATTTCTCAAGACTCAAGAAACCGTATCAACTGGACAGACGTGTCCCACACCCACCCACTCAGTTAAGAAAGAAAGAATGCTCCAACCTTATTTCTGTAAATGACTTGAAGTGAAGTGGTGGTGAAAGGGACGCCAATTTCGAATCCGAGGAACTTAACCAGGATCACAGTAGACGCAATATGTTTCTAACAGCTACACCTTACTCCGGTGATTTCAGTAGTCAAAACTATTGGTCAAGTTCTGTCTCGGATTCAAATTACTTTCAATGGCGCATCTTCAAGAACAGGGTTCGGACTACGACTCGTCATATCTTTGTGCATATACAATTTCCGTTCACAGGGACTTAGGGTCGCATCATGTAATTGAGAGGGGTAAGGGCGGAATACAGCGGCGTTGGTGATCGTTGGTTGGTGATAGTCTGATAGAAATGCAATAAAACCTACGGATTAGGAGTCTATTCTACGCATTTGCATATTGGAGCCCTTTCATTTGACTGCGCATGATCATGTAATAGGCCCAGACTAATCTAGGTACTGTCGAGTTCTTATCAGCCGCACAATCCTCTGTTGTTGCACAAATAAGATTAAATGAGAACGACTCATGTAAAGTCCTTGTAGCTTAGAATCCTTACAGTGCAAAGATACCAAAGCTCAGACAGAGAATGTGCGTAAAAAGGGTTTCGGGTGTCTTACGAATCGAAAGACAATATCAAGCATTGGATTCATGTAGAAACGAAATCTCTCAAATTTATTTACCATACATTTCAGAAGAAACAACATAGTTTCAAAGGTTGGAGAGTAGCCCTTGTTCTGTTCGATCATCAATCCGATCAAATCTAGGCTTGTTCCGAACTGTACTGAACAGGTTTCTCATGAAAGTAATTTCTCGCTTAAGCAACTTGAATCTGGAAGGATAATGCGTACATATCCGATAGGTGGTTACTCCAAAAGAATCACTTATTACTCGTCTGGCTATGACGCAATGTCAAAGAAACCTAGCCGGAACGTCTCAATGTCCCTGCGATGCGATATCATAGAGAACTTGAGGAATATGGATGCTGTAAGTAAAGAGTCTCTGTTGCCGGAGTATGATGTTCGTGAAGGAGCTGTCAAAAAGGTGTGTATCAAGCGGAATCAGATCTAAACTAAATCCTAAATAGTGCGGAAAATATGTCGCGTTGCTACTGGAATTGCATAGATAAATCAAACCCAAATAAACTTTGGCAATCCATGTCATAAGTTCTATCTAAAATATATATATAAAGGAAAAAAATCATCAATAGAAGTTGATCCGAAACAGTGAACTAGATAGAGTATTCACTAACGCAAGTTGCACAAGCTATTGTAACTATAAATCTTTTTGTCTGGCAAGAATAGTTTAATGAATTCGTTCATGTGGATGATGAAAAAAGTGAAATATTTGCAGCCGTAATTCTGGAAGATGTTGAAGAGCTTTTGAAAACAATGAAGATGGTTGAAAAGAATCTGGAAGATGATAACATTTTCCTCTGTCAAGAATAAGATTCAGGTCTAGAAAAGAATGTTGTATTTAAGGGATCAAGTCACTTATATCAAACAGTTGATATAGAGCATGAGTTGGTATGTTGATATAGATCACAATTTGAGAAGAGTCTGAAGAGAAAGTTGTTGATTAAGAGAGTTGTTTGAATCTATTCAAACAACCTTATAAGATCATCAATTTTTTTTTATCTTCAAAACTTAGGTCACATGACAATCCATGACAGGTTGATTTAAATAACCAGGAGGTTACTGTAGAGTATCTTAATTTCAAACATACATTCTTAACGAAACGATATACTTTAAAAGATTAGTGCCATGAGTGAACCGGTACACAATTTGCACGTGGATTGTACTCGGTCCTTACCTTATGAAGAATTTGGATTCAGATAATTTAGAAACAATGACGCAGGTGACAAGACGCATAACCTGAACGTGTAGCCTCATCCAGTTTTTATGCTTGTTATTCCCTATGCAAATGAGTGGTCCTGAATACTTATACAAGCAATGTTGGAACGAGATATCCAGCTGTTTGAACCCTGCGACATTGATATTACCTTAGATAAACAATCCAGAGCAAGCGTGATGTTCATGTGATAGGAGTTGTGTGCCTACAAGTAGGTAATGGAGTCTGATGATTATACATACAGTTCAGTAAACTAATAAAATGTAAAACAATAAGTACTTCGCGTAGTTGAGACATACCCATTTTCGACATCACATGTTCCTGCAAGTTATCCTCATTCAGATCTATGCATTTTGAAAAACTAAAAGATGAATAGATGCCATACCTTCGCGCAGGGCTGATTATATCTGCATTGAGGCTTGAGAAAAGATCTGACCACTGTTGTTTCCTGTACAACCTGACCTTTACTATACGAAGAGCAGAGCTTCCTAGCAATAACATTTAATTAAAATGCATTTGCAATTTCAGTTAGTTTGTTTCCTGTGGTTGATCTGAGAGCAGAAAGACTAGAGATTTTATGTCTGATTTTAAGTACCCCATCAGACTAGGCTTTCAGTGACTACTGTGGCTGATTGTAATTTTGCATAAAATTCATGCAAAATTACATGATTTTTTTGAAATTGTTCACGCTTTACAGCATTATCGATGTCAATGATAAAATTAGTAACCTGCCATATCTTTTCAGTAAAAAATTTCTATTGATCCACACTAATTATCTTGCGTACCAATTTGGTTTTATTCCACAAATGTTTCTTCTTTTTTCATCCATCACAATAAATACTGTCTTTTTCGTTGAGCCAAAACTGCTGTGACGGTCCAATTGGTCTTCAATTAGCTTTGTTCACTCCAACCATAAACCCACACAAACATGGTACTCCACAGAAAAGAATACATTTATTATATTTGACAACGGAAAGAAGTGAAACCAATTCATTCACACAAACTGTTGACGGTCCAAGATGTTTACATTCCGATTACTGCTGTAACTGCTGAGCTTTGACGCAGTCAAAAGTATGGGAAATCCCAAACACAGAGGCCAATGTTTTTCAACTGTCATGTGATGGGGAGAAAACGGCAATAGCGCGGAGTCAAGAACGTGTAATGTATTATAGGATAAGGGTATTGCACGCAATGCCCCTCGTGCAACGTGCTATGTTAGAATAATTCCAGAAGTGATAGCGATATGCCATGAATTATATTCTTGTAGCTAGAGGTCTAAAATATGGTTGAGAAAAAGCTTGCTCAGGATATGAGTTATCATAATCAGTGACTGGAATACACGAATACACATGCTCGAATCAGGAGCATGATGACCAGTCAGAGGTGCCTCTTCGGCAGGAGATCTACAGCAGTGTTCAAATGCGGTATTATAGAGAAAATTGGAGAAATTTTAAACCTTGGTTATCCATCGAACTGATCATGAAGCTGAAACTAGAACGCTCGTTTCAAAATGAGTACCGAAACACCCATCTTTGCCAAGAAGAAGCCGCTTTATATCGTGAACTTTCAAGCAATCTGTTTAAGTTCCGTTTGAGCCTCCACAGAGGACGGATTCGAAGTATGTGGGAGATGTTCGGAACAAGTATGCTATGCACTCCTCGAAGAAGAAGTAAGGAGTGGAAGCGCCGAAGTTGAGTCACCTTCAGTGCAGTTCAACTAAGATATCGTCTTCTAAAATGGCATCTGCATCGCTGGCTAATCCAAGGACACCATATAAATTACGCTGTCTTGGCTTTGGCAAACACCCAGAAGAAAATATGGTTCACAAAACAGTCCGTAAGATTACCGAAAAGGGTCTCCATCCCAATCTCATTCTTAAAGAGTGTATCTGATCATTGAACAGAATGACATTTATTGGGGACCATGACAAGAGTCCAAACTTGATTTGGTCCTGAGAATTGCTCAAGATCAATTCAAGTGACGGTGATCAGAATCTACGTGTCTTACAATAAGACATTCTTACAAGCTCACTTCAGATTATGTTTCCTGATTCGAAGAATCACGAAATAATTCCTGATTCTTCAAATGCATGAACAATGCACAAATTCTGAAACCCCTATTCATTTGCAAACTGAAGATGGACATTCCCAACGTCCGCAGTGGTCATTATCTGTTCGAACTACATACTTCATCTAAAGTATATATCAATTTAGAAGATTCTCAACAACGTGTTAACTATGATCGGATGTATTCAGACCTTCCGGTTTGAGATACCAGTATCTGGATCACGTAATCATATCACGTCACAGAAGAAGGTTCATCACTCTATCATATGTATTAGGAACCTGATTTATTACTTCGATGACTCTGGTCAGGTATCAGCTCGTAATCTCTTGCTGCATATACTAGATCGAGCTTGGATATAGAACCACCGTTGCAGATCGTCCATGCCAATGCTGAGTCCAGCAGGCTTCAACCATGAAAGCGCGAAATCCATCATCATGTCAAGCTCGCTTCAACATACTGTCAGACATTCAGTAAGGTTTCTGTCCAACGTAGTTGCCGGGAGGATTGTAGTTGCAGACGGAGATGGTGCCACCGTTGTTAGGGCATGCAGCACTTGCGCAACCCACTTGTGTAGAGTTTTTCCACACGACCTGAATTTAGGCGAAGGCATTAGATTGACTTGTCAATAAGGCATTCAACATTTGGTTTGCATGGATTGAAGGAAAAAGGATTTCAACAGTTCGATTGTGGAGCATAAAACACTCCCTTATATGGGAAAAAAAGTTTGTATGATAAACGTAAGAAATTACAACAATTCAATGATTGAACAACAAAATAATAATGTCACACGAAAAAAGCTCGACAATTTGAGGTGCAGGAACTGATGGTTGAGATCCACATTACAAATCTAAGAATATGTCTGTACCTGAGTGTAGTGACCGCATATTTTTCCTGTTGCACAGGTATTGGTCGCATAGGTGTAGTAGATTTTCTCACCGACCCATGCATTGACAGCGTCGGCTGGGGTGCTCGCCCAACTGGCCCAGTAGATGTTTTCTCCATAGATGTTGTTTGGGCGATGTTGCAGGGGACAACCTCGAGACGCTAGATCGTTGGCCCACTGGGAAGCGGTAGTAGCTACAGTCGAACTCCATGTAAGGCCCGCAACTCCGACTGCTGATCGAGCAGTATTGTGTGGATTAACCCAGGCAGATTGACAAGCTGCCCCGCTGATGAGACCAAGAAGCAGAACCCACCCGATAAGAGCTTGAATTACAACCTTTCTCGAGGACTCCATCTCAACCTCTCTTCCGATTCGTGTAGAACTAATAAACACGGCTGAATTCGAAGGGGAGCTTATCTTCAAACAAAGAAGATCAGATGAGCTCCAGATGCAGTTATGTGGTAGATGCTCAGAGCGCAGGTCTTATATAGGCATGCAAACGCTGCATGGCTGACTTCGACAGCCATTGCAGTGGATTGACTGACTGATATCCATTATTATAACGCAAGACCGAAGACTTCGAGGAGGGAGAAAACTCCATCTCGATCTCAGATCACTTTATAATACACAATCTTTCACTCACGGAAAGAGCGATTGCGACATACACGCTAACAAACCAAGACTTTCCGTGTATGCTGGCGAAAAAATGTGGTACAATGAGAAGAAGGGGTAGTGTAACATTCTCGTTTGGCAATCCATTTCCGACGATTCATACCCTCTTAATATAATTCGAGTATCTACTTTATCTAACGTAGAAGATTTCCTTAATTTCTGTGTAAGGATATAGAATACCAAAGCTGCAGATTAATAAACTCTTGTGATTCATGGTGAAAATCATTTGAACTGCAGTCAACCTGGGTTAAACTTCTGCTAGCTGTTAGTGTTTCTTTGGTCTCTGGACTTTTGATATCATGCTGATAGAATTGGTAGGAAAGTTTAGTTTGATAATATTTATGATATAATATTGTCTGAGCATACCGCAAATATTGGCTCACAAAGAGGCATGTAGACTGCTGGTAAAGATTTCCAATAAACAAAAGTGACCTGAACAATGTGACTGCCCGTCGCATCCCTCAAGAGTGCATCCTACACTTGGCTTGGGGTGTTTTATAACTTAGCTAATTGTTACTTATCCTTGAGCCCTATGTTCTACATGCACTGTTCCTGAGCTTTACGAGATTACTACATACTGAAGTTCAAAGATTGCAGATTTGATGTCGCATTTGTCAATATTTGCACTTGCAGCTTCCTTTTTGCTAGGTTGAATTTGGAACAAGATGTCCTTTAGGAGCTGTAAGTTCGCTTTTTTCGTCCATGCTATACAGATATGGACTCAACATCTGAATGCTACATGTTAATGTACAAGCATTGTGGTGTTTACCCATCTCAGCGCATAAATCTCTTTCTTACCCTTCATCTGGCTTCAAAAATATATTTTGGCAACCACTTGATTGCTCATTGTTTTGGTTTTATCATTTATAAATTTCCACCTTTCTGTTATCCCTCTTTCGCATAGGTCTGAGTAAGGCGTATGATCAACTTATCAGGAAGTAAACCTTGCTAGATAAGCCTTAATATAGTGTATCTGATCAGTTACTGACATCCAGAAGGTTTCTGCTAATAGCTTGTTCCCGTAAGTCAAGTCCAACAATTAAGAGAAACAGATAAATGAAAGACCTTGTACATTTTGGGAAAAAGTTTGCTCACAGATAAGTATTGTTCCTATTCCTATGCAGCATTATGTTTCAGTGAGTCCAATGCTTAGGTATGGGCATTCTCTTCTTATGCAGTTTCAGCGTTCTATATAATGCATCCTTTTTTAATATCCATTGTGGCAAAACCGGGCAATGTAACGGTTAGTCCTTACCAAATTCGAAATATCCATCAAATATGACAAAGCCCTTCACAAAAGGGAATTTTGCATCTTGTGTACATTATGGAACATTTTTTTTTTAATTTTTAAAGTTAGAGCTGTTGGTTTAAAGACTTGACTTTACCCAGATTAGTTTACTCAATAATAGCGAGGTTAACGACATGGTCTTACTACAATGAGATATGAGGTTATCATAACTTCAATTTTCAAGGTATTTGCGAAGATTTATATGAAGGGTAATTATTTTGAAAAAAAGAGATATTCAAAATGTAATTTACAAATGAAATAAACTAATATGTGAATTTCATGGATCGAACATATTTTTATTATTTACAAAAAAATTAATCTTTAGAATGAACAAATGATTCATGAATTAATTATAAATTATCAATATACATTGTTATGACTAAAAACACAGTATTTCACATAGAATATGCAGAGTTTTACAAAATAAAAGTTTTTCATAATAGTTCTGGAATTCTTTCCAGTAAAGTGTGCAGATTATCACAATACTGTAATATGTCAAGAGTGTTTTGTGGAATATAAAAAAGAGTATAATGATTTTAGTGTATATATACCCAACACACACCCACTCCATGGTATTAATGATATAGATCCAAAAAATACCACGGAATGTGTGTTTGTTGGGTGTATATACATTAAAATCAATATCACCTATAAGAAACGCATACTTGCGGGCATATTATAGTAGGCTAAATGTCTGATCAATGATATAAGAGTTAATAATAATAGTTGATCAATGGTATCAAGCCTTTGCATTCAGACGCACAGGGGGTTTATTCGCGTGTTTGAAGCTTGCGTAAATAATTGCGAAATTTGAATAACAAACGCATATAGCAATCTATACGTGGTACATGATCATTCATGAAATTAGAAAAGCTTGTGTTCTGCTAAAGATCAGCCGATGACATCATCGGTGGGCACCAGCCTTGCGATGATCTGAAAGATTCTAGAACCTGAGTTGAAAAATGTACACACTTTGGAGTTCTCAGAGGTCAAGAACATGTGTCAAGTCTGATTGAATATTATATTCTTGGTCTTTCGATATCAAATTCAAGTCTGTGTCAATCAAATTCAATCAGACTTGTCTGATTGAATATTATATTCTTAACTCGGTCTTCTATATCAAATTCAAGTCTTTGTCAAGCGAAAGAGGTAACAAAGCACCTTTTTTCTCCTCGATGGCGAGGCTAGCGGATCCAATAAGAACGACGACGCGTTTCCACGTGCTGTGGCTTACCCAATCATGAAACACTTCTTGCAACACTTCTCTTATCTTCAAGCAGGTTCGAATAAAGCACGAATTCAGGACGAATCATGCAAGATGAGCTGACAGAGGGCACAACTATTTGTATGAATAAATTACAAAGCAAAAGCAAAAAACGTTTCATGACCAGCTTGACACAGAACAAATTGACTTCACATGACTGAATTCAGGGTCAAGCACAGGCCGTCCAATCTCTCGCTTTCCTCGATATCTCACAACTAAAGTCAAGTGCCCTCGGGATGTAGTCATCATGATGTGTCGGCAATGCAGCGAATGTACTGGGCAATGTACTGTGGAGATCTTCATTTCCGGCTCAAATGAAAGCAACTGTACGACATACCGTCGAAACTGGAAGTCGTAGGTCAAACGTTCTGAAGCAGTAATTTAAGGTAATCAGCATCTGAAACGCGTCTCGTTATATATTCTTCGTAAATCTTCCAAATTTTTGCGATCGTGACAAAAGGAAGCTCTCGGACCTTCTCCAAACAGGTTTCCACTTTGCATGTGGCCTTCATGGATATGCTAGTCCAGATTCGAGTTGGGCCTCCGGTGAGCCAGTACCTCCTTTAATGCGATGACACCATGATCTCGTTGAGTAGACCTATTTAATACTTGATTATCCTTGTCTAGAGAAAGACTGGGCACGTCGAAACGTAAAATAGGAAAAACGTAATCACAGGTGGCTGTGGTCTGGATAACGTGGAAGGAGAGAATTCTGTGCAGCTTAGCGCAGATTTTATCTTCGACGACACTCTTGCTACTTCATCGGCTGAATATCGGGATCTTCCACAACGATATTGATATTGAGTGTACAACAATCTGACGTTCGAGAATGCTGGTACTTTTGAGCAACAACGGACCGATAGGACCATCCAGAATGAAATTTTCGCTACGGAGCTCATTTCCTCGTTGCAATCTATCAATCTCCTTAAAAGCTCTGATTGTCATCAAGCGGGACCCGAGTTGACAATCCAGTTCTTCACCAGAAGTGTGACCAGGATAAGCTCTCGCCATAAAATTTTGCCTTAAAGCGATCTGCAATCTCTTGGTAAGACTTCTGGTACTCCTAACAACTACGACAGGAAGTAGGACTTCGAATGACTTTTCTAAGTCGAGACAAGATTCCACAAGCGACAAGATTCAAAAGTTGTTCAAGTAGTTAGCACAGTACGGTCACCTGTCCTTCGTCTGAAGTCCTGGAATAGTCTTACGCAGTCAAGTAAATTCCAAAAATTGCAGAGAGGTTGCGGCTCGCTAACGGGACGGCAATAGTGAGTCTAAGTGTCTCCATACGTGTGGATTTCAGACTCTGGTCATGGAAAGTCGGTTCCTTTGAAGAGGCCGTGCTTTTTCAAATTTGATGAATATCGCATTCCTCAATCTTAGTGGTTATGAGTACTGGAGCAACCACTGGTGGCAGTACAGTACTAGTTCGCCAAAAGAGATTGGATGAAGTGTTAGTGTGAATGCACGTCTGCACGTGGGCGATCCTGTGATTTTCTCTCTGAGAGCTAATCAGTTCTGAGCCTTCCCTGCCTTTGTCTACCAAAACCAGTAACACGTGAATTATTTGAACAATATGTTTGTACAAAATTGGTAAGGAGAAATTCAGAGTAAATCAGTCTCAATTCATATGTCCCTGCACTCATGCGCAAAGTTGCTTCTAATTGTTGACATAGGTATGATGTCTGCCTCATCAAAACTAATGCAGGTGCAAAAACTGACCAATTTGTTTTCCCGACCTTCATGTTTATTGTATCCTTTGTTTGATGATTTTTTCAATGCATTAGATTTCTGCTCAAAGTTTTGGCGCATGATATAGCAAGCCTACATTCCTGCGCGTAGTCCATGGATGCCTTCGGCATTTCATTCTATCTTGAAAGGATATTCGTCCCCAATAGTACGCTTGGAAGTGGACATGTCCATAAAATCTGTTCCTATCGATTGCTTTAAACTTAACAATGAAGCTGAACGACAGGCCATTCATCTTTGACAGAACCGAAAAACCTCTGCATCTCTTCATACTTCTGGTTGATTACATGGTGGAATGTTCAAGCTTCCTGCTCAGTAGATACGACTAGACAACACGGATTCGGCCCTCATTGCCACAAATTTTATAGAAAGAAGTGTTGAATCTGAATTTATTTCCTTGAAATATACAGTTGAGACTGAGGAGATTATTGTTTTGCATGTCTTGTCAGATCTTGCAGCATTGTGTCATTCATAATGCTGTTCAATCAGTTTCTTCATCTGTTCCGTTTGTTAATGGATAGCTTCTTATGGCAAGAGGCCACATACACAGCTATTTTGAGAGAAAGAAAATCAGCTAACAGCTTGCACTTGAGCGCCTAACCCTTGCTGGCATAAAGTTTGAGCCCTTTTAGAGAATGGCATCCACATCTTTCTCTGTCTGAAAATTGTTATTCAGATTCTTTGAAAGGTCTGCGTTCCAGAGATAGACTCCAGAAATTGCCCTACCTTCGTTCTTGATTTGTGTGACACAGTTATAAAAGGTAGAACCGGTGATGGTGTTGGGATCCAAAGCCACTTGCGTGCTCAGTCCCACTTTATTCACGGGCAAGGACTGAACCACCACGTTATACCTCGCCTTGTACTTCGCACAAGTGTTCAGACCTTCGCCGTAGAATTGGTAGTTCACAAGGTCGATGTAGCTCCCGTACGAGTTGTGCAGCTGTGTGTACAATGCCAGCTGGTCGAAACCAGGGGCAACACTGACGATGTTGATCACTCCATTGTTCTTGAGCGTCTGGATCAGCTGCCCGATCAAAGACACGAAGTTGGTGTTGCCATTTGGGAACCTCTCGATGTCGATGTCTATTCCATCAGCACCGTAGTCTTGAATGATCGTCGTCAGCGAAGACACGGCGTTCGCGAGCCACTGAGTGGGATTGGTCGGGTTGTACCAGTCCACAGACACTTCCGTTCCGCTTGGAGTGTAATACACAGCACCGCCGATGGCGATGACGATTCTGCCGTTGGAGTGGGCTTGTCGCCAGGCCTTCGCGGCAGCCTTCGTCAGTGTGGGATTCCAGTAGACCGAGTGAATACCATTAGCCTTCTGGCCTGTTGAGGTGAGGTCGATTGCGAATGACAGACCCAAGACCCAAGTCTTGTCACTTTGAGTGATGGGAATGTCGTTGAAGGTTATGGCCACGCCATTGGATCCGAGGTAATCGAAGAGCATTCTCCCAGGAAATAGACCTTTGGGAGCTGCGTAAGAACACTGGCTTTGGCATCCAGTTCCGCAGTAAGCTGCCGTGTTTCCACAATAGCCATACTGGCTGCAGCAAAGCTTGTTTGCGCACAGGGCTCCTCCCGCTGCTGATCCACAGTCCTGCGCCCATGTCAGCTGCAGAATGCCTGCGGAGATAAGCAGGCTAATCGCAACCGCCACCCCACCATGCCCTCGTCTCATGCCGAATCCTGAAGTTAGCCCCATCGCGAGAAGATTGAGACTGTTCAACTCGTATCGGTGCGGCCTCCACCTCTTAAACAGTGTGGATCGACAAAGTCTTCGAGAGGTCTGAATGATAAAGTCACGTGGTCCGCGGTCGGACTTGGTCCTCGTTGGCCGACACACATGGCACACAACGAGACCCTGAAAGGTTTAAAGCAGTACGTAAGAAGTTGCCAGCACGTTCGTCTCAATCAAATTCATCGTGGACTGCTGCTGTGAAAGGGGCCCAAGTAATTATCGAAAGCATGGTAAGACTCCGTCAACGCGAACAAGGATGAAACGCCTGACCAGGGCTAGCCCCAGTAGTATCAGCGTCGTAAATAAGTCCTACATCACCTTTCAAATCTTGGCTTCTGCAAGAATGGAGAGTCACCCTTTTCCAACAATAATTTGGAAATCCCAATTTAATATGAAAATTACCGTGACCATTGCGAACTGCAAGCCCACTATGGAATAATTTTACATGGAGTGACTTATCCAACAAACCACACATCATTGATTGGAATATAGGTCCCTTTACTCTAGACTCTCGTAAATGACGACTTTTGGAAGCTTTGGATTGAGTTTCGTGCTTAGGATCTCCTGGCGGATTGTGTCTGTTGAGATCCGGAAAGTGGATAAGTGATTGCAGAGGCCACCTGTTGAACATGTCTGTCTCTAGCTGCACTAGCCAGTCCACCATGTCTCCTTCTAGCCATGAACTCTGGCTGGGTTTAAGCGTCGTCCTATGGTCAATTTTATTTTATTTGATAGTCAACGAGCCGAGTTGCAGGTTTTAGCGTCTACGACCTGAGTCTCTTTCCATTGAAGATTAAAAGGATCTTGACCTTTGACATTTAAGTCTGGTGACATAGGGAGGAAATATTGCAACATAGATGTGTTCTCTTTATTGTCGGATTTAATTTTGGCAAGTCGTTAAAACAGTAACGTGGCGATTCATTTATTAAGTTTACTTTAAGGAAAAAGTTTCGTAAACCCAGTTGTTTGTCTTTAATGTGAGAGATTATCTTAGGGTGCCGTTTTTGTAGATAGTCCTCGAGATATAATTAACATATATAAGTGTAAAAAACATCTAACATGCTGGCTTGTGCATCTAGCAATTTTTTTACAAGAGTTAAAGTAAATATTTCATTACTGGCAAGTGTAAATGTGACTCCTTCCCCTCTCATATTATAATCAGACTTGAATTCTAAGAAGTAATTTCATGGTTGACTTCTTTTTCATTTCATGTCCACAAGTGATTGCTTGGACTCTGATTCTATAGGTACTGGTTCTAGCTGAGGACACGTATTTGATGGTAAATTTAAGAGTTTACTACGATGCCTTTACAATTACACAATGTCCCATGAACCATTTGTTTCTCAGCAACATAACAGGCACTGCAAGTGACACTTGATAATAAACTCCTTTACATCTCAATGGAGGGAACCTTGGACTTGACCCATGGCGTTAATGATTTTTTTACCAGAACTTATATGCATGATAATTTGCATAAAGCATAAATTACATGGTACTTATGCTAACATGAGGGATACGGGAGAAGTAAATTTAGTTAAGAGGAAATGAGCATATTTTTAAGCTGTTTGAGTTTATGTGTTACCAAAATTCAATGAAATGTACTGTTTTTATTTCTTATACAATTTATGTCTAAATGTAAGAGTTTTTTAATTTTTATAGATATAGATTAATAATTTTATTAAGTTTGTGGGTTTGGAGTGATTACTCTCAAGTCCACTACATAGACGAGGTTTTCATTAGTCCACACTACTTTTTTCCTGACTTGTTTTTATTGAAAGTTAGTTGAAAATTCATGGGTTAGGTTAAAAATTCATGAGAGTTTTTTTATTTTAGGGTTGTTATATCTATCATCTCGTTCACCATGTGAAAAGTTATCGTATTACAATGTGGTTTTGCGGATGTCAAGAGATCTATGATGAATCCTCATGTTTAATAATCATCTGCACTGTGTTACCTATGGTTTACCTCTTCTAAAAAACTTCACTTAGAGCGATAAATCATATATCATATATTATCTACTTGCAAGAAATTTCATTTAACGTCAAAACATTGTACAAAGATTATAATTGGATAACTTGATATCCATATATGACAATCCATCAATAACATCAAATTTTTGAAAAATTGAGTGTAATGAATGCAATTTTGGTACTTCATCAATTGATTATTATTATTTGAGCCGATTTTTGTTCAAATTTTCTTAGAATAAATTTTTTTATACTTCATACTGAATTTTGAATAGTATTTTGGTACGTCATCAATTGAGCATTATTATTTGAGCTGTATTTTGTTCAAACTTACTTAGAATAATTTTTTTCTAGTTCATACTGAATTTTGAAGAAGACTATTCACTTATTGATCATAGTCATATTCTACGCTTTTAGACAAATTTTCTACAGTCTTTTAGAGCGTAGATTTCTTAATTTTTTAACAATATTGAAAATAATCACATATTTATCATATAGAATTTCACCCATACCAGATTTGATGGATGCTTATCAAAAATTCTTGTTATTATTTTTTATTTTTAATGAAAATATTTTTTCCCTTTATAACATCTTTTATCAACGTTGAAGGTAAGAGTCTGAAGATCTTGTTGCTAAATACTTTAATAACAAGAAAATTATACTCTCTAATAACATATTTCTCTAGTGTTGTGTCAGCAACTCCAAATGTGTTAATTGAAATTTCTTAAGCTTTGTCATAAAACTCTTTGATAGTAAATATTATGTGCTCTTAAAAAATTTACCTATCTGACTAGATAAAGATTCTATGTTTGATTTTTGACATTCCAAGAGGACCAAAGATTATTCTTGCACAAAATTTTTACCCAACTTAGTCCGCCGTCTTATTACGCAAAGAGCGAAGGCAAGGTCTTGCAAAAACATAGGTTGAAAGCATGAGTCTCTGCTTGGTCAATCCGAAGCTCACAATCTAAGTAAACTAGTTACTCCAACACGTAGGATTGAAATGACTTTCACAAAGTAGTTTCCATGTAGATTAAATAGAAAAGATCATAATTTTCTCCCTCATTGGTGTTGGATTGTACAAATTTGTACAAGCAAGACTCGCATAGAAGTCTAGATACCTATCCTCTGCAAGCATGACAAGTCAGCAATGTTGATGATGCAGCGTGTGGATGTTTCCCAAGCATCATCACTACCATGGTAGACCTTGCAATTTATTTCTGGGTTCTACCCACATGGTGTTTGAATTTCGTCAAATGGTCAGAATAAAACTTCAACATTAAGAAGGTTTACTCATAATAGACAGGAACCATGAGCACAAGAAGCAAGGTTAGCATAATTGACCACTCACTAAATTTAACGAGCTGTATCTGGCTGCTAAGGTTCATAAGATACATGAAAAGTAGATAAAACGCTTCTGGAGAAGACTGTTGTCCTGATTAGGGAAAGCGAAGCGATGTATTAGAAGCAATGAATGTAATGGAAGCAATAGTACAGGCCAAGCCCCCAAGACATGGCAGTGGCTGCTATACTAAGCCTGATTCTACACTCACATGCCAGCATGTCATGATTTCCAATCAAGTCCGGGGACTTGATTAGAAATTAGGTGAAGGACAGCCAGGGCCCAGGGGGCAGGTGCTTCCGATGCTCGAACTCGGAGAATACGTTGTGAATTTAGTGAATTTTGATCTGATTTGAATGGAGGATACGTTGTTCTCACGAGGAAAGGCAGACTTGGCCAGGCCGAGTGTATAGAGGAGATCCAGTTCCTATATAATCCTGTCGAGGGAAGAAGCCATCGTGCAGTTGAATGTCATCGCTGAGTGGAACTGGAACGCCACTCAATTCATCATGATAATCGTTTCGCTATTCACATCCCCCAGGCCGTCGACAACTGACACCATATACTGTACTCATCATTCTCAGAATCTATCTAGTCTTTCGTATAGACTAGGAACTGGCCTGGTGGAACCTCTTTTGGCTTATCCCCAACCTTCAAATTTCGATCCACACCATTCCATACGTACAGGTCAAGCACACCCGCCGTATTCTCCACAAACAGCACTCTGTACCTACAGAAGCAGAAACCCGTCCCAAGTAGGGGTCTTGGGACGAAATTTCTTTGTTCTGCCGTCGTCAGCCATCCAAAAATTTATTTATGCTCCGCAGTTGGTCCTTCTCACACCTTAGTAGGCCCTCTCGCGTGATTTCTTCTGCTTTATAACAATGTTTTGGTTTGTTTAAGTGGTGGTATCGAAGGTCCCAGTGCTCGATCACACATCGCAAGCATCTGCCACATCATTGTTCTTTGCGGAATTGGAGATGAAGTTTAAATAGTAAAGGGAGTTTTCCAACGTAGAAACCGATTTTTTCACGTAGAAAGTCTGAGTCAAGAATACAGCTTTCAGTCTTATATTAAGCACTACGAACGTCATTCATAGCACAACAAATCATATGTTTTTCTTGTCCTCCTATACGTTTCTTATTCCTAAGCATGTATTTTCGTGCTTCCGAGCTGTATGTGTTGATGAGACAGCGAGGTAATTCTATTCAAAGACTTTTCATTCATATCGTAGTTTTGACTTCAGAGGAACTTTCACTTCAAACAAATCCTTTTTTCCCTTGTTTACTTGTTTCTCCTTGTATGTCAGGTCCAAATTCGGTGGACCTCATGCTTCCCTTGCTTAATGGATAGTTTTATCCCAGGCTCTCACACAGAAAGAGTACTTTCCCGAAACTGAATCAAAGGAGCGGTGCAGATGGTAGGCCACGGAGAGAATGTGTCTACATGGATAAGTACATAGTATGTACTCATCGTACATAGTACAATGTACTACATTGAATGACCAAGGGTTACATTGAATGACTTGATAGTACATAGGTACTATCAAGTACGTATGGAATCTACGTAGTACATAGGTCAAGTCATTCAATGTAACCCTTGATCATTAAGAATGAATTTCGAGTAGCTTTTTTTAATCTAATCCGTACCTCTCCAGTTTAAGTCGAGTGTGCATGTCCTATGTAATATTTTCCCAGTCCACAAATTTTCACGGGCTATATTTTAAACCAACCAAAACGTTCTCAAACACGACTTGTAATCACATCTTTCCATCTGATATTTGTGTTGGGTCAACATTTAATAAAGAACCATCATCTTCAAAATTAGAGCTCTAAATACTCCATGATAGGCAGACTCATTTAAAAAAATCCTCAACCTTTATACTTGTGAAAAAAGTAAAGTTAGCACCCATGTTAAAACAAAAAAGTCTTTATTGTTCTCGTGGAATGCTGTTTTCAGATAGTGAGTAGCCTTCGAATCTACACCACAGCACTGCATCCAAATTGACAATGTTATAGCATGCTCACAGCCATCTCTTGTAAAACCATACGCACACAAAACATAAGATTCAAACCTAAACCACAATCGTGGGTTTAAACCTTGCATACAACTATAATTCCGAAATGTACAGAGGAACAACATTAACCTTACTTTACAAGTTGAGTCTTAACGATACTTATATCAAATAATGAATACAGACAAATTGATCTGTCTCAGATCACTACCGGAAGACCAAGAGCTGGCTAGAGAGATCCTTTACGGACACAGTTCTGGAAGAGCTCAAAACTGTGGTCCAATATTGAATATCACCGAGTTTAGCAGATTTGATATTTGAAATCAACATGTCCGTACGAAAGTTCTCAGATTTCGTCCAGTCTCTTGGTTTAGTCGTGAACCTTCTGCAAACCTATATTTGACCACACCAGCATAAAATGGAACAGACTATGGAAGATATAATAGAAGACACAATTCTACTGCAAAACCTTTGTTCACAAGATTTACACAAGATTTACATAAGTGGAATCCCATCCCATGTAAAAATCAATTTCAGGGTGTATGATTTCCATGAAGACCAAAAACGACTTTCATAGCAGGATAGTAGAGTTCTCTGTAATGAATGAATTTCAGGTGCAATATACAGTTTCTTTTGAAGTTTGCTAATCAAATACGACCGCCAGTAAAGTGATGGTTGACTAGTGGAAGAAGAACCGAGAATTTTCTCGAACTCGCATCGCATCTTCTTTAAATTCTTGGAAATCAGGATATCTTCCACACCTCACTTGTATAAAGAATCAGCTCTAAATTTGCTGGTGATGGTTAACAACTGTAAGAAGTCTGTTTCAGCAGATTTGTTGCAGACGTCAAAGAAGCAAATGTTCATGCAGTGCAATGGAGAGAGAGAGTTGTGGAGATAAGAGATTATAGTCCAAGGAACGAAGGCTGCTTCTTTCATGAGTGAATACTAAGGTCGGGAGGGAAACGCAAGATACAAGTCAGCAAAACGTACATCAAGCATCTTCGTTAATTTTCAAGAGTTAGTACACGGTCGAGCTCGTATGTTTTCAGATTGTTTTACTTCAGTAGTTATACGAGTGAAATACTGAGTGAAATACTTTTAAATGTATCCTTCGTTCTTATACTGCTGGCTGACAAAACGGGTGAATGCCCGTCCTAGTCCACTAAATCCAGTATATAGAGGTCCGCAGATTGCGATAACCCGAGGACCTCGAGTACATTCTTCATGACCAATGCATCTGATGAAGTAAGTTCGCATTGAAACTTGGGTTGAAGCATTCTACTCCAAAAAGGTGTCTAGAAGCTACGTTTGAGACTATAGCCATTACAAAGGAAAGGAAGCGTCATAAGTTATGAGTTAAGAGTTATGAGTCAAGAGTCAAGAGTTATGACTCATAACTCTTGACTCCACCCATCTCAATCGGAGCTCTGTTGGATCTACGCGTTGGATTACTCCGGTTCATGTTTCTAAGCCTGAATTGCATTGTCTGACGCGCAGGTTACTTTTCAAAACATCACTAGTTTGAAGTTATTATCGAATCGTGCAAGACGACAATGTTTCAGGTGTGCCTTTGGTTCAGTCGAGGTCTCTGAATCAAAATGAAGATATTGCTACATGTAACCTTCATCGTCATCGAGAGAAAATTATTTCCTGTTACGAAGTGGTCACTTCTAACTCGGAGCATCGAAGGAAGTATTCGCGATTTCGCTTATCCATAGGGCAAGTATAGAATTCTCCAGGTTGTTATCACGAACTAGTGTGTTCCAAGCGATGACGAGGAAAAGATCTGTGCAGTTTTCTGAAAACGCAACTCTTTCTGATTATCTGCTCCGACTGCACCCGTTCATTCTCCCTTCATCTTCAGAGTAGACGCTTCACCCACTTCTTTCACCTCCACATTGTATTTTCTCTACGCATTTCTGTTCCAGTTCGGTCAAATTTGCACTTCAGGCTTCGTCCGGTGATACACGTGGACTAACAGAAGTATTTTGTGTCCAATTTATCATCATCAGGCTTTAAATGTAATCGAGACTTTATTGATAGAATACAGATTTCCGTGATATGAGAGAAAAAGTTCATAACGTAAATGGTAAACGGTAAATAGATCAAGCCCGTGGGACCCAAAGGGTCAAAAGGCTGAAGAGCACAATACAAACAATCCAACTCCAACGTGAAACTGACACCATTCATGACCAGTCTCGAGTCGTCAATGGAAGACAATACTGGGCCAGCTCAGATTTTCGCGTCTACCACACATTTCAGAGTCTAACCTTCTCTGGAATTGACTCTGAATTGGCTGGCAATCTTCATGACCCCAGGACGAACTTCTGGCCATGAACTTCCAACGGAGAAAAGCATTCTACATTGCGACTGGTCTGCCCTGATATCAACAAAGTTTGTCACTTCACAGTCTGACAGCACGTTTTGTAGGGGCATACTGGGTAGGATGCGTTTGTTTGCAGTAATAAAGTCTTGTATTCGGACAAATGACTTGGTATTCGTACAAATACGGTAGAAGAAAGATCAGACGAGTAGGGTCAAGCCGGTCAAGCCGAAGAACCGAAAGTTGTTCAGACAGTATAAACATGCACTAAGACATTTCAAGCTAGAACCTGGATGCAAGGTAGCAAATAGGGTAGTTGGATCTAGTGTAGACCATGACATCCGGGGATCCGAATCACGTAGAAAATGAAACCTGAGTTTTAATGTTGATGGTAGGCGTCCAGGTTTAGGCATGTCATGTCCTAATTGCATAAACTCATCGTGGTTTAAGTAGGAAATGTAGCATAGAATGTCAAGTCCTGACTGAACCAAATCACAGCATGATGAGCAATATCATGCTTGATTCTCATACCGCAAGACTACATTTTGTCATAGGATGTTTTTTTAACTTAGGAATTTTCACACATCATGTTCGTTCACCGGGCGAAATTCGGCTAATGACATGTAGGATACATGTAGCATATTAAGCAATTCAAAAGCGTGCAGAATGTAATTCCTTGAGCCTTTAGACGTCTTGTGCATTTGGACATAAACCAACGTTCAAAGACCGAATATCTCTGCATCAGTATGGATGACTTGATAGGAAAGAGGATAAGCAGCAAGGCTGTTTCTATGGAATCATAGAATTAAACTCTTCTGCAACTGTCGCAACGATCAATTGACTGTTTACTTGTCTGTACATGCAAACTTGGCACAAGAGGCTGAATCGCCTGTTTCTTAGGGGCAGTCAATCACCGCTCCATGGCGAGAGGCTTTCTTCAGTGTCTGGCCACGCCACTCAGGGCTGGGATCCTTCTGAATCAGATTTCAGAGAGGAGTACAACGGCCTGCAAACTCAATCAATCATCAAACTGTCCAGCCACAGCAGTACACGTCGCAGGTCACCGTCGTATTGTCTACTCCCACGCAGCACACGCAACTTATAATACAAGAGCCAATGGCTCCAAATATTATGAGAAAAACGCCCACCAAAATCTGCCGGTGGGTGAACACGATGTCCCCATCGATTGCGAATGCTCCAAAGACGATGCAAAGTAGAAAAATCCCTCCAACTGTAGCAATAATCAGGACTTTTGCAAGGTAATTAGTGACCTCCATTTTAGTTCAATCAACCGAAGAACCGAAAGCTTGCTGACCAACCTTCGGACAGATTTCCGTTCAACCAGCTGCAGCTCGAGCGTTCAAAGCTTGAGTTCTGAGAGCAGTCAGTAGACAGGTCATGCAACATATGACTGGACCCTAATCATCACATTCTACTCTTAGGAGTCCGCCTTCTCCACTTGCAAATTGCATAAATTATACACCCTTCTACTCGACGAATTTGCAGCGCTCGAACAATAGAGCAAGCCGCTCAGTGAAGGATTCATCTTCGGCCACGACACGAATGGAGAATTTTCGACTCTATCGCTTTGCAAGATGGGCACCGGCCTAGACTGCTACATAACTTGCCTTCACGATCAACTGCCAAAAATCCTCCTGTTGTCACACGAAATGGACATTGAAGATGTGCTCGAAACTTCGTCCAGCCTTTGTGAGATGTGCCCTGCTGCTCCAAACTGACCTGCCTTGTTCTAACGCTGTCAATTCCCTTAAGTAGAAGATCTTCTTGGAGTCTGCGATCAAGCTGTATACAATTTCCCTTAGCCAGTCCATGGCTCCAAAGTCAACCAGAAATCAGTGCGGGACGGTCTTTGACAGGTTCAATCAACTTGGAAAGCTGCATCTTGTGCAACTTGCAGGATGAGAGCCGTTGACAATTGGGTACAAGCTCAGAGTCCGAAGCCCTTTCGACTAGGGCTTGATCCTTCTACTGTACGTCTTGAAGTACGGATTGCACATGCCCGATATTATCTCGTAATGCAGAGCCAAGCGATTCATCCGTAGATCCAGTTTTGACCGAGGGATCATCTCTAGTTTCTACTCTCACCATGCTCCATTCCACTTCTCACTGCATGTTTCTCGTAACGTGATCGCGCCATTTGAGGCCGCCTTACGGCACAGGTAACCGCCGCTTCTACGACGACATGTCAACTTCTGCAGGGAAATCTTCAACGGATCCTTATGCCTCACGAAGCTGGCATTTGGAAAGAGAATTTGAGATGGACGTCCAATTACTGCGGTTGTAGAAGGACATTTCATGGAATCTTACGTAAGATTATAATTACGATGATGAGGGCTAGTATTCTCAGTACCGTTACGAATGTGGGCTCACGTAGTAACTTAACATGCCGTGGAATTTCATGTCCTTGCATGTTCCTGATGATGAAACTTGATATTCGACTTCAAAGGTAATGGTAACATAACAAGTGATGGACGTGAGCTCATCCGACATATTTTCTTTTGTCGATGCGTTCCTGATATTTACATCTCACAGAAGTCATGGGACATAGAATCAGTAGCAAGATCGAGATTTCAGAGGTTTCTAACCCCGGGAGAAATGACATTCACATTCTGTTACCACTCTACCATTGTCCGGTGCGAGCTAGTTCTGGTGAACAGAAGACGACAAGATGAAAGACTCTCTGGATTCGTCAGAGAGAATGAAATTCCACAAGGAGAATCTACAATGAGGATGCAAGGACAAGAATTATGCAACTCCGTATCATTGAATTCAAGGACAGCCACTTGCCGATTAAGATCACTTCGAAATAATGATAATCTTTTTCAACAGACCAGCGAACATACTCATCTTTATCAGAGACTTTGAGTATACGGTAGAACAAACGCACAGGAGCCACAGCTGTGCATGGAACTTTTGGAGGGACTTGTGAATTTCTGCACTGTATATATCTAAACGACAAACTCGTCCGAAACTGATTAGTTTGAAGCGTCTCACATTTAATGCAAGTTCCTCTAGTAACTCCAATGATCTCAAGATCATCGTTTAAGAAATCCTTGTGTCTCCACTATGGGTCCTTATAATCGGATTCTTCGTTTAATGTGTAGTATAATACAGTGCAATAATAATATAGTGAGAGGTTAGTTATTACTCACTTAGGGTTAATTAACCTACAATCTACTATACGTTAATTAATTGATTGAATATACTATTTTGGAAATAGTTATTTTTCATTCACGAACCCTATAATTTTACATGGACCAATCAAAGAACTTTCTATATAATCGAGTGAATACTAATTAACCTTAAGTGAATGATAACTACCCGTTACCAATACTAAATGTATTGGGAACACTCTATACGGCGTCTAAATTTCCGAACAGCTGAACACGTAGTAACCCATCGAATCAAACGAACATCCAAAGATGATTAGCTAGAAATAAGTGGACGCATGATGGTAAAGACAGCGATTGCAAAAACACCATCAGATGTTGTGTTTTATGTCACACAGGCCGAAGTAGTGAGACTTCAATGAAAAAACCTTTGCTTCTTCATGCCGGAAACTCCTATTGAACCATTTCTTGCAACTTTGGATACTCGATCGAATGCGACCTTCAACTATTGAAGAGATCCAACCTCTTCTGGTAAGTTTTTCCAAAAGACCAAATGTAACACTCTAGATGTTACCCTATTCCATCATTTCTTCGGGTTCCAAGATATTCTCGTCATGCATGCCGTGTACTCCCTCGGATATATTAGCGTGATCAAATTCATCACTTCTACCAACACCAGCATCCTCGTGGTCGGGTACTCTTCAAGTTCAGGTTCATCAGGGCTATTAACCTCCTAACTTTTCACAATTAGCATCTTATGGCTTCCCCATTTCGATTAGAGTCTATTACAAATCCAAAATCTTGTAACTTTACAGTTATACAAGGTATGATTTGGGAGTGCTGTATAATACAGTGGTATAACACCATGGAAGTAACATTGCAATTATACATACACACCTAAGGTTTACACCCAATTTATCAAATCATGTTCTTGTTTTGCTAAGAAACAGAGATAGCTCAATGACATGTGAAGTACATTCAAAACTTTGCCAAAAAAAATTGCCATTCTATTTTGAACCGATATTAAAATTATTTATATGTTCTCTTACGGTATATATTATAGCAAATTTGCATACTTAAGATGTGGTTTAATACCCGCGAAAAGTGTAGTTCAATCGGGAAAAAAAAATTCTAAAATTTTCACAAAAAATCAACAATGAATAATCAGTAACCTTTCTAATTCCAATTTTTGGAGGGTACATCAATCCTAGTTGTTGGTCTAATTTCGCCCCCGGAGAGGGCGCGCAACTATCTCCACCCGAACTTCACTAAGGCCCCGGGACTGTACGACAGGATCGGACTTTTTCGCGTAGTAAGCGTCGTTTGAAGGCTCCAAAATGAACATATCTTTTTCGTGTTTCACTTGCAATTAATCAATTATTCTAAGTAATACAATCAAATCAATTTTTTAAATGTACTTTTTTATTTAATTTTATCAAATTTTTCTATTGAGATGAAAAAAAATAGACATTCTTTTCAAAAGAGAATTTCAAGTTTTAAAGCTTACACCAACAAATTATTTTTACTCATTTTCTCATCATCTTATATAAAGAAATCTGTGAAATTATTGGTGATATAGAATTAATTTCTCTAATTCTTACATCCGAAGATTGATCCCATCATTAAATAAATAAATGAATATATATATCTATATATATCAATTTTCAAGTCTAAATATTTACTTCGTTACATATGGATAAGTTACATCAATTTTTCTTCATATAATTTTTTTGAAAACATGCTTCTAATATACCGAATTAAATAGCAATGGAATATATGTTCCCATGTGAGTTGATAATTTATTAATAGATTTGCATAACACTAAAAATTAGACTTCAATGAAAGTAAAATTTGAATGTAATAGATGTTTGGAAGCAATATCATTCTTTTATATATATATATACAACTTTACAAATACTCTCATGCGTAATAATCTATCTATGCATATCTACAGCAACATGTTATTTTCTTATAGATTATTACACATTTATAATATTAGTAAGTGGAAATAAAATATAAATATGTCCAAACGTTGATTGTTGTAAGGTGGAATATTTATTTAAAAAAATTATGTAATTATCATTAAAAAAAACTTCATTTTCTATTTTTTTCCCCTGCATATCATAATCAGAAAATATATAATAGATCTCATGCACTATCAAATCAGAAAAATTTGAAAATTGAAAATTAATTTTGAATATTTGAAGCTATTCATTTAAAATTCAATTTTATTTAACGAAAATAAAACATATAATTATCATCAAAAATTAGATAAAACTGAGTATTTCCAAACAAAAATCAAATTTCATATATTTTTAAATATACCTAGATTAAATACAGTCAATTAATTTTAATTCTGATGAAAATCATATATAAGATTCTATGAAACAAAAAATAAAACAAATGTAAAACATTTTTTGAAAAATACGATATTCTGCAATTGTCGCAATGACTAATTGACTGTTATTTCTCTGTACAATTGTATTTTGTTTTTGTACGCATGCATCATTGCGATGAAAGGTGGAGGGCTGGATGTCTTTACCACGCTGATTGCCTCTATTGAAAAATGCCTCGCTAGGTGTTATCTCAAGCTGGGATGCACTTTG